TTTTAAAAATACTACCTTTTCCTTTTCACATTCCCTAATTAAAACCAGGCTAGATTCTATCGTTTCCTTGTATATACTTTTAGACAACAAAAAATCTTCAACCCATCTTGTCCAATTTAAAACTTCATTTTCTCCTCTAACTTGACAGATACCTCACCCACCCCATCCACCTCCCAGTCTCGCACCCCTAGACTCCAGTAATAGCCAAGATCTAGCTTGGGAATAGAAGATATGATCTATTATTTCACTCTTCTTCTCTTTCTCTTTTGGCTGTACCTTTTCTTAGCTATGAATGGGAGGAAAAGAGAAAGAGAAAAGTGACCCTCACACTTGATAGGGCAAGCGATTGCAGTCCCCTCTCTGTGAGCTCAGATCCTCCACCAAGGCCCCTGTGGCTTCGCGGTCAAAGCTGGTTACCTTGGGGTTACCATGGGTGAGTTCTTTGGGAAGCCTTGGAGAACCTCCCCACCAGGAGATCTGGCTCTGGCTCAACCTCTACCTATACAAAGAGTGGATCACATATAACTACCTTTTATGAGTTTATTTAAACCTTGAGTAACATCCACCCCACAAACCCCTGTTTTGTCAAACTGCAGGGGTGCAGGAATGCAGGTTGCTCCTTTGCCACGCCTTTGCTCCATCCTGGTCTTGCTTTTTCTTCATGTTCACAGAAGCCTAGGGAAAATCAACAAACTTTCTTTCAGAGCAGAAGTCTAAACTGGGGTAACAGTCTCTTACTGCATACACTCAAATCACTATAAATGGCTCAATTTGAGCTTCCTTCCCCACTGGACTTGGAAAGGTTAAGTGGACATTGTGGGCTCATCTATTCCTCACTGGGCTTATGACTCATGACTCTCAAACACCCCCACCTGGAAATATATGGAGGACATAATGCTTGTTGTACCATAGTCATTTTATCCATTTCCTGATAAGCCTTGAAGAGTTATCTGACCCCCAATTGGTTTTTCGTTTACTTGCTTTTGTCTTCTTGTTGTCAATTTTTGCCACCCTTTTGAAATATAGGGTAACTATTATCTCTTCACTCTTAGGTCTTGGTAGCCAACTCCAGGGCAATAAGGGAAAGTAACACTCAATATGCTAATACAGATGCTTCCTCATCCAAAGCCATTGGCCCCTTTTCAGCCATTTCAGTCCTCAGATATTACCAATAGGGTAGAGCTGAAGTTTTTAGTTCCCAAAAACAGCCACATGTACCGTCTCCTTCACTGCCCTCAGCCATCAGACCCTTTGTTTCGCCCTGTGTTATGTAAGCCCTAAAAAAGTTTGTTTGCCACTTATTACTACAACATTTTCACTCAGAGAGCATCTCCTATCAGATACTCAGACATGTGGCTAGACAAAGCAACAGATGGTACATAGGCCTATTCACACTTTTAAATGAGTCAAGAAGTATGTTAGTAGTAATAAAATAACAATAAAATTTTAGCAATGTCACAGAATATACATGTCCAAATAAGCTGGATCAAATCATTTTTGGAATACCTTTTGGGACTTTTTATGATCCATGAAAAAAGACATGTTAATTACTTTTACAGTTTTTTGATCTGAAATATTGTACTCAAATTGACTATTCATCTAATTCACCAGACTTGGCTCCAGATGACTTTTATTTATTTTCAGTAATTAGATTTGCCTCAAAATATCCTCAGGGATACCCCCCGAGAATGTTTAAAAAATGTGCTTTCCATTCTAAAGGCAACTCAAACAAACAAGTGGAAAAAGAAAAGAAAGACAAAGAAAGTTGGCATATTCATTAGTTTTTACCATAGCAACAAACAGCCCCACAGTTTCAGTGGCTTATGGCAACAAAGTTTATTTCTCATTCATGTAGGACTCAGGCTGCAGACTTGCTGTCGTCCTGCTTGGCTCCACCTGACTCTGTGCATCAATGCTCAGCTTGGCTCCACATTGTCTTCTCATTCCAGGACTAAAGGAACAGCCCCTTACGGGGACATGCTGTTCTCCCGGAAGAAAGCAGAAGCCAAATTAAACCAAACCAGAGGCCAGACCAAATCACAATAACCCATGTAAAGCGTCTCCGTGGTCATGAGTATAGTTTGCATCCAGTCACATTCTGCTGACCAAAGCGAATCACATGACCAACCTGACAAGGGATAAAGAAGTAAATTCTACCTACAGGAAGGTACTGGAAGCCACATGACAAAAAGTCTAGATGTATAATCTTCTACAGAGGAGAAAACATGGAGCTGGGAACAATAATGAAATCTACCACACGGTGTGGGAACAGTGGGAACATCATGAGTATATAACATTCCAAAGAGACTGCTTTGGAAATTATCAGAATGATTAACCTCATAAATTATGGTAGGGGTATAAACCAAGTCAGCTTCATGCCTTATGGGCTCCTGTCATAAATTTAAGGTTCTAAAAATATATACAACATCTAGGGTATTGTTTTAATCATTTTCTGAACTCGTTTCCTTTGTGAATAGTTTTATATTTGAGTTGTTACGAAGTAGTTTATTGATAAACATATATTGCAGAATACTGATTGGAAAGTGCATATCTGCAGACTTGCCCTATATAATGCTCTTTATATGCAAAAGTCAACAGTTAGTGCTGCTATTTCTGAAAGAGCAAATCAATATTCTAAAAATGGGCTAGTCAGAAAAAATTATCTTTGCAAGGATTGTATAACATATCAAGTTCCTCAGTTGAGGAAAATACTAAATAAATCTCTTAGCCACTAAGAGGTAAAATAAAGTTGCTAATGCTAAATAGGCATGCTTTTCATTTCTTAGCCACACTATTAAAATCTTAAAATTAACAATTATATTTTAGGTATTGAATTGTAGTCTTTATTTGTCCCAGAGTCCTAAATACACTTGAAAAAGTCATATTCTGGAAGCCACCTGTGCTCACTAAAAATCCGTCTCCTGATCCACATACCTCAGCCCAAACAAAGTAGCAAAATATACGAGATGAAATGGGAAGGGGAAGCCCTGGAGTGATCTGAAATCACTCATCTCTATCATGTAGCTCAATTCTTTTCTGTTACTGGATGTTGTTTCCCCTCTTGACCCACAGAAAATACACAAGTGAGTAAAATTCTAGGACAGTCCCTGAGATGTGCAATATCCTGCTGTTGAAAACTAAAATTAAGGCCTGGATTGAAGGAGTTTATAAGGCAAAGAGGGGTGGGATGGTGTGATTACTCTGTTCTGTCCTGCTGGTAGACTGATGGAATATGAACTATTTGTACTTTTCCTGCGGCTCTAGCAAGTCCCTCATCATGTGACCAGAAGCAACTACATGCATGAAGAAATGTAGAAAAGTTCTAATTTTCAAGAAAATCTCCATTCTATGCTAGCTGAGGTTGGTGACTATCTCTGTATTTCTGAGTCCACTATAATTCACTTCACTTAAATACCTCCGTGACATCCTATAAAAAATTTGCTCAGTCACCTGGATTATGTTTCTTTCCCTCTTCCTTACTGCCTACCACACTTAATACTGTCAAAATCTTCTTTAATCATCTAGATTTTATGCATTCATCCTCATTTTAATGTTGTCATAACTTACACTTTATGAAGCATTAAGGTATGTGTACAAAATAATACCAAATTGAATCACAGCTGGATATTGCAGACATTAGGGTAAACAGGTCTCTGGCATTTTAAGATTTACCTCACAGTTCGTGCAAAATCACATTGCCTGCATCTTAAAAGCCCAGTCTTTTAATAGCAAGTCTTACTTGATACTTCTCAGTCCCTTGACCTTAAACTTTTTATTTTTAAACATTTTTGGCATAAGCAATATTGCCTCTCCCAGGTTACGGCATCTTTTGAAAAGGATTTCTGTAATCCTTAAAAAAGAGTGGCCAGCTATTTTCTACAATCTTATAGACAGAGGCAATAGATAAAAACTACAATATTTAGGATTTACTGCTTCCTTATAGTGAAAGTCACTGACACAGAACTGAGTAACCTTCCAACCAAAACTTCATAGTTCAACCTTTTCCATAGTTGTTTAAAATTAAGGGGCATGTTAATTTCCCTCGTCGTTTAAAGTTTCTGTGCCCGAAAATACAGGAATAGAATAATTGACCTCTCGTGTTCATCTCCAGCACTCTATGATTTCCATTCTGCAGTGTACAAAAACAAACTCTTTACACGTCAAGTAAAAAGCCATGGATCTTGAACCACATCTCCCCAGGAGAACATGTAATCTTGGCAGGGATGCAGGGTTTGAATAAGGTATATTCTCCAAGGAAAATAATCACACCTGAATACACTGAGTTTTCTCAGCTTTTATGTTTTTTAGGATGTGGTCACTCTTCCCTGCTCTGTTTTAGGATGTAACTATCCCCTGCTCAGTTTTATTTTGAGCAAGGAATCAAACTGAGTTTTTCCTCCTTGAACCAGTGAGAAGCAAATACATTGCTCATAAGAGAACAAGTTCATTTCAATAGAATAAAGAATAAGAGTATTATGTGTACAAATTAACTAAACAATTCTGACAATCCCTATAACTCCAACCCTAAAATATATTATTTCTTTAATTATTTTGGTAAAAAATTATTGATTTTGTCTGTGCAAAATGACTATTCTTTTTATCATGTATGTAGCAGTTGGATAGTCATAGAGTTATATTTATGTACTAGATCAGTTTAAAAATACTTTAAAAAAGTACTCGGTTTTTTTTTTTTTTAAGTATTTTTAAACTGATCTAGTACACACTAGAATTAAGAGGACTGAAAGGAGAAAAGATGTGTTGTGAATTGAAATGAAGAAAAGCAGATCTCTTATTGATTCTTCACTCTTGGAATCTCATTAACTATCAGATGGAACTTGATGACTGTCAATGAATAAACAACATTTTCTCCATTCTAGGCTGTTAAACTGCCCAAAGCCACCAAATACAGATTAGTTTGAAATGCACTTATTGTTCCAGCTGGTGGTGGTTAAAAAAATCAGCTTTAGATACAAGAATTTTTTTCTCTCTCTTTCCTTCAGGCTGCTAAAGGATGCAGAAAATGAAGCTTATTTTAAAAGCTGGTATCAGAAGCTACTAGCTGCTCTCCAATTCTGTGCAGGTAAAGCCTTGAGTGATGAGTTTTCCAAGGAGCAGAAACTTATCAAAATTCTGGGAGATATTGGGGAAAAAGTCAAGTCTGCCAATGACCATCAAAGACAGGTTTGTTGAAATATTAATCTTCAGGTAGTAATTCTTTTAACTTTGGTTTACATTAAGTTTTAATTTCATTGTTTACAAAGCAAATTCGCTGACTACACTTAGATATAAGACCCTTAAATCAATTACTTTAGTCAAGTTTTTTTGAGATATTAATCTTGAGGTAGTAATTTTTTTAACTTTGGTTTAAATTAAGTTTTAATTTCATTGTTTACAAAGCAAATTCCTTGACTACACTTAGATGTAAGATACTTAAATCAATTACTTTAGTCAAGTTTTTTTTCCCCCACCTACTGTTCTTAAGTTAATGATAATGTCAATCATCAGGACATGGTTTTTTGACCTAAATAGCCATGTGACACACAAACAGAACCTGAAAAGAAAAGACCAACTTTATAGGCAGTTTGACTAAACAAGTCTGATAAAGTCATCGCGTCAATATGGCGGCACAATTCAGACTCATGGAGAAATACATGAAGAGATGTTTTAGGGCACTTTTGTTGTTGTTGCTCAGCAAAGAACATTTTTGACGCAACAAATAAGATGAATTAAATGAAATAAATCAATGGCCTTAAGAATAGTAATACTTTTTATACTAAGATCTATGGATACTAGTCAAAATATGTGCCTCCTTCTCAGTGTTTATAATAATGGACCTGGCTATTATTTTTCTTGGAAGAATATTTGCTCTTTTTAATTATCTGCATCACTAGTTCCCTATACTGATATACACCATTAAGTAGTTTCTCTCAAGTTCAACATTCTAGATGCAGGGAGAGAGCGGACATTCATTCATTGTATTAAGAATATTATTCAATAATAATTAACTACCTACTTTAGACTAGGGGTTAAGGATAGAAAGATGACCAAAACATGAGTTTTGTCCTCAAAGGAACTCAGTTTCTCTCTACTTATAATCTAAAATCAACAAGAATTTTCAACAAAATGATATAAAAATAGTAGTAGGCAAAGTGTCCCAGAATTCTTTCTCAGCCCAGGATTTTTCTTGCTGGAAGTCTCTTCGTTTAGTAGAAGTGCCAGAAACTATGCTACTTCACCTTCCTGGGAGAAAATGGAAAATAAAAAAGCAAAAGTTTGGAATTTATTCTTAAATAGGAGGTATATAAACTCCAGTACACAGTGGAGCCTTAAGGCATATAACAGGATAAGCAATGCAAAAAAAATAAAGTTCTATGATTTTTTAAATGTTACTACAAGTTCTTTAATTATTTTCTAATGGTAGACAAAAAGTTGATGGCAAGTTAAATAAACTGATTTAAAATTTACAGAAGTTTGTGTGAAGGTTTGGTCTTTATCTCTTACGTTTTAAAATCCTTCACATGTACATTATAGTTAAATAATTCTGGCACTTTTTTTGATCATTTGCTTCAAGTACCAGAGTGATACTGACATTATTCACTCAGGTAAATATACTTATCTTGCCTTGACTGGCTGCTTTTGTGATAACATCTCTTTACATAGGAAAACAGGAAGAGGAAAAGGAAGACGTGGGAGAGGCATTTATAATTTCTCACAATTTAAGAAATAATAATTTCTCACGATTTAAGTTACTAATAGCTATTTTTCTACTTTAAAAAGCACTAATTAAGCATAACTATATGAACTGGGAAGAGATTTTACTTAAATGAAGGGAGCATAGAGTCCTCTCCATGATATCCACCTGGTAAACCCAAGTATAGATGAGGCAGAGGAGAACAACCACACACAGAGGGCTGTAATGAATTTTTGTCTTTCCACTTTGCTCTTCTGGATTCTGGGAGCTGTGGATTCTATTATTTGCCAATAAGCCAGGAGTAAAAGCTAAGAAACTCTTGAGAGCTGAGTGAACATTATTAATATGATATCCTTGTCTTCTGCATTGGGCTCAAAAAGTTTCTTTTTTAATTTTCAATTTTAAAATGAGCAAAAAAAAAAAATTCTACCATAGTTACCTCGTGCTAGCAAATAGTAAGTCTTTCTAATTTACTCTTTCTAACTACTTTTTTGTATCCATTAACTATTCCCCCGCCTCCTGCTGCACTGACGACCCTTCTCAGCCTCTAGTAACCATCCTCCTACTCTCTGTCTCCATGAGTTCAATTGTTTTAAATTTAAACTGTCACAGCTAAGTGAGGACATGTGATATTTGTCTTCCTGTGTCTGGCTTATGTCACATAACATAATGACCTCCAGTTTCAACCATGTTGTTGCAAATGACAGGATCTCATTCTTTTTTATGGTTGGATAGTACTCCATTGTGTATATGTGAAAGTGGACTAAAAGAAGCTTTGTTTGTTTTGTGATGAACTGTTATTATTTCCTATCTCTTTCGTCATAGAATGCACAATTTAAAGGTGTTTTTTGTGATATCTGACCTGCCATGAGTATAGTGGAGTGTAGGAGGGAGGAAATATCAGAAATATACCCATTGACGTCCAGTAAACTATTTGTTCCTGCGTATTATTATTTCTAACAATTATTACACAATTGATTTTTGTCATTGTTGTTACTATTGTATGTAATTTTTTTTGTAAAATGCACTATTACTATTGAGTGTAATTTTGAGAGTCACAAACTCAGATTTCAGAAAATTATCAGAAAAGGATCATGTTAATAATTACATAAAGCAGGGTTGGCTACGCAGGTCAAGTCCAGCCCTTTATGTTTTGTTTAAACAGTACAGTGCTTTGACTGTTTTTTATTTTCAGTTGAGTTTGAGGTCCTTTAGAAAGGGCATGCAAGCTTTAGTTTCCCATTTCTCCAACATGCCCTATTGTCTTTAGCCCACTGTCTTCTCATGCCTGAATACATCACCTGCCTGACCCCAAAGTCATCCAAGTGTGCAACCCTGAATTGAGGAATTCATTTAATCAATAGAAGAAAATTATAACCTGAAGGAAAAGTCAAGTTCTTTACATTTTCTTAAATCCTTTTTCTAATGATTTTTCACAGGAGGTACTGAAGAAAGAAATTGGCAGACTAGAAGAGTTCTTTCAAGATGTAAATACTTGTCATCTTCCTCTGAACCCTGCCCTGTGTATAAAAGGGATTGATCATGATGTAAGTCAACTTATTCCTCAGATCAATTGAATATTTCTGTTTCATATAGTTTAGTTCACTGTATATGTTTGAAATGGCAAAAAGAATTCATAAGCTGACATTGCAGTTATTTTAAGGAAAAAGTAATTGAATCCATTTACATTGTGTTTTCCCTTCGATACACTATGACCAGTTGGGATCACATTGGCCTTATCACATGGTTTGTTTATTTGGAAACAAACTATCCATCAATTCAGTGAAAAAAAATAGAGGAGCATAGAGGAACATATCACTGGGTTAATTTCTTGACTCATTAAAAATGATTGATTTGGTGACCCCATGCAGGCTGGGTATAATTTCGTGGTTTATTTAGACTATGTGCATAACCATACCTAGTACACGAACATTAATCATTAACTACAACATTTCTATTTTGATTCAATTTAAAATTCATTGATTCTAATATGTCAGTATGTCATATAGTTTGTGATTTTACTCACGCCTGGAAAGCCCATCTTGGCATTGTCAGACTCACAACTTCCTAAACCTTCTCTTCCTAATCCTCTGTCATATGGTACCTCTTCAGTCACCCTTCTCTGACTTAGAATCATTCTTTCTCCCTTGTTCCTGATAAGCTTTATTATCTTCCTTCTCAAAAGCCCAAGAGTACAAAAACACTAACAGAGAAAATTATGAATATGTTCGATTTAAAAGTGAAGAGGTTAAGCTACCATGCATGGACAATAAATGTTACTTAACCAAAGTCATAAGACAGTCAAGAAAACAAACCCAATAATTAGGTGAAAAATTAGACCATTATTACCGTGAATGTAAAATGTTTTGCTAAAAACTTGATACCATCATCTTTATCACTTTGCCACAAGTAAGACTCGTTGCAAATTTTTTTATACATTTAATAAATATATTTTGAAACATAACAAAATAAAGCTTCAAATTCCTTAAACTGAGATATGTCTGTCTGGGCTGAAATCCAAATCGTTACTAATTTTCAAAAAATTGCCCAACTTTTTCATCATCAGCGGCACACTTGACTAATGCTGAGTATATGTAGGAACTCAGCATTTCAAGGACACTGTACCTTAATGTAGAAAGAACAACAGGGATCACTGAGTCCTCATGGGTTTTTTTGTTTGTTTGTTTATTTGTTTGTTTGCTTTTGTTTTTGCTTTATTGGCTTGTTGTTTTAAAGAAGAAGAGTTTTTTTTTTGTTTTTTTTTTTGTTTTTTTTTCACTTAAAGTTACATATAAGTTTGGCATGTGCAGGTGCACCGACTGGGCCAGGGGTCAGCTGCCCAGGAGTCACCACCCCTAGTAATGAAGGTGGGACCACACTCCTTCCCTACAGCACCCTACGGTTAGCAGTACTTTTCCTGCAGAAACTGTCCCAAGTAGAGCCACCCTCTGGTTCCATTTACTCTGACTAGCTATGCCTGGCACAGGGTTGGGCACCTATGGGTACAACAATGAACAGGACAGACATGGTCAAGTGACAGCATCTTGGGAAACATTTTAATCTATCCTCCAGTCCCATTGAACAAAGAAGTGAGAAACCTTACAGCTGAAATGAGTATGGAAAATCTCTCTGTTTCAACAGAAACCTTATCAACTACTGGAGAATCCACACTGGGGAGAATCCTTAAAAGCATAATGAATACGGCAAGGCCTTCATTCAAAGTAAATGTCTTACTTGACATCAGAGGGTCATATAAAAACTTATTTAAATGGAAGCAGTTTGGAGAAACCATCTATCAGAGCTCTTAATTTGTTGATTATGAGAAAATTCATACCTTTTGAATGCAGTGTGACAAGGCATTTGGTCTGAGTAAATGTCTTATTCTGTGTCAGAGAGTTCACACATGCCAAAAGCCCTATGAATATGATAAGCATAGAAATCTGTAGTCAAAACTCATGCCTCATTATACACCAGAGAATTCACACTGTTGAGAAACCCTACAAACATAATGAGTATGGGAAGATATTCAGTTATAAGCCAGTCTTGTGGTACATCAGCGAATCCATTGTGGGGAGAAATCTTATAAATGCAATGACAGTGTGAAAGCTGTTATATGATTGTGTGAGCCATTATAGCTCACAAGTGATTGTGCACCAGAGAGTTCACATTGGAAAGGAGCCCTATGAATGGAGTGAGCAGGGGAAAGCCTTTAATCAGCTTCTGTCACCGTCAGTCAACTATACTGGGGAGAAACACTCAGGTCTGGCTCAATTCGTTTCTTAAAGCGTGGCTCTCAAAGGCAACGAGCAAGGGGCTCAGGTCTGAGCTAAACTGTCTTTATAAGACAAACTCTCAACCTTTGCCTTCCACCCCTACCCACAAACCATTAATCACAATGAGCCATTCCCTATTTTCTTTTAAATCACTAAAGGATGGACTAAGTGGGAGAGTGGGAAGAACTGAATGCAATTCTTCCCCACTACTTAGGGAAAACAAGGACCAGATATTTCATTTACTTACTGGTTTCTTTTTCAACTAATTTTTAGATCTCTGTCATTGATGTGTGCTTCTCAAGGACAGAGATCATATCTTCCTTTCTTCTAGCTTTTCTATCTTATTATACCATCTACATAAAATCCTCCTCTAAGACTCTGACTAATTCTTACGTCTGTGGGCATTCCAATCTACTTTGTAACTATCACTCTAATCTAATATCTTATCATTTGCCTTTTTCTATCTGGAAAATCCTTGTTTCTGCCTATTTGCTAATCTATGTCCCTCACAATCTTCAAGATCTAGTTAACCTCGGAAAAATTTTTTCTTAAAATGTGACTTCATTCAATGGTGATAAACTGCCTTGTGAATTATTTTCAACTTAATGTGTGTGCATTTATATATGTATATATATGCATGTATATACGTATATATATAAATGCAATGATTGTGTGAAAGCTGTTAGGGTTGATGTGCGTGTGTGTGTATATATATATACATATATATAAAACCAAATTTAATAGGCTTTGTGAGGGTAGATATAGTGTTTCTTTTTTAGCATATAATGTGCATACTAGTTGTTGAATACATGTTTTTGACAATTACTCAAATATTTACTGCATGTGAAAACCAAGATGTGAAACAATAAAAGCAGAATATCTCCAGGTGATAGTTACAAAGATAGGCTAAGCCTTGCCTTTAGCCTCCCTGGACTTGGGATAACTCAAAGAGATCCCTGCAAATTCCATGAGCCGAATTTAAAAACCACTGATCTATACTCATTTCTTGCCTAATAGAGAATTTGCTAATTCAATACCATGATATATGGTCACGTGATCCCTAATTAACTGACTTTTGCAACAGAATTTTATTGCTTAACAAGCATCCTCACCCATAAAAATATAAAACATCTATTTTTATTTATAGATAAAACATCTGTATCTATAAAATATCTACTTCTTAACTGACCTATCAACACAAATCTAACCCAATTTCTAACTAAACAAACCCTTGTTTAGGAAATACCTATTTTCAATCTCTTAAACTCTTGCTTATGATTCAGTAAGCAAGGGTTTGTGTTTAGTTAAGATATTGGGTTAGATCTGTGTTGATAGGTCAGTTAAGAAATAGCTATTTTCTCTCAGCTTCTACTAATTTCAGACTTCTTGCCGATAACATTGTTCAAGCTGATCTTTCAACATGCATTGGTGTCATATTTTACTAAGTTGATAAATCGAAAGCATCAAGTCTTTTTCCTTTCTTTATATTGAGTTAAGTCTTCAGTGTCATCATGAACTCTCTAATAGTCTAAAGACATACAGCTTTTCAATGCTCAGTTGTAAAAAAAATAAAAGGAAAACAGGCAACAAGGAAAGTAGAGTGAAAAGTAGTCAACATCACAAAGCCAAAAATGCAAACGGAATGTGTAATTACAGGAAATGAGAAGACAAAATCTATGTTGTACTGTTATATATAAAAACAAGAAAATGTTCATTAGCTAAAAGATAAAGAAAAATGTAAGGATTTTTCAAAGTAACTGATTAGTGTCAGGTCCTGTAAAAGGTATTTTATATCCATTAGTTCATGTATCTATCACAAAGATGTATGAGGGAGCGGTTACTACCTCTACTTTAGAGCAAATGAGTTATAAAGCTTAGATTTGAACCCAAGTCTTTCTTAACTCTCTATTTTTCCTTAAAGTATTCTGCAAGGTAGACATAATGGAAAGGAAATAAAGTTTTTAAAATAAAATTTTAACTTCTATTTACTGACCAGCTAGCATAAGCCAATATTCATACACTGCTTAGTTCATTTAAACCTCAAACATATCACTACTGTTATTGAAGAAAAAACGTAGTTGAAGATTTGTAATCTGTCAAAAAGCTAGCTTCTTGGTTTCAAAGTAAAGGCTCCAGTTGATAGACTAAATTTTTAAAAATATGTATGTTTCTGTGTTTCAAAGTATAACAATTATTCATATGTGTTACATTTGTTCATACAATAAAGTCTGCAAGGGGATATGATTTTGGGGAAAAGGTTTGTTTTTTGGGGGTTGGGGGTTGATTTATTTTGCTCACTAGTTTTCCGTTTTTCTTTCCCTATAGGCATGTTCATATTTTACATCTAATGCTTTGCCATTGAAGATTACTTTCATCAATGCTAATCCAATGGGCAAAAACATCAGCCTTATTTTTAAGGTATGCTAGTGCTCTTAAAACATGAATTGATTCCATAGACAGAACTATCAATTTATTACTCACAAAAAGAAATTGTTGTAGCTATTTTCCTCCAGCAACAACACATAGGTTTTTCAGTTATTTTAGAGTTTGCCTTTTTACGGGATTATATGTAGTATGTGCCAAACTTCAATTGGCAATAAATCAAACATTACTGGCTCATAGCCAGGGAGCCTTCAGTGCAAAACCCAAGAGAATATATTTTAATAAATGAAGTGATATGATTGCTTTTAAGTGGCACAGAAAGTTGAATGTGTGGTGAGCCCCAGGAAGAAAGTTTTATGTTGGTCTAGATACTAAATTGGGATCAAAATTAACGGGAACTGAAATGACATAAGTTAATTTACCATTAAATTCTTGCCTGCTAGCACTTGTTGATTTTAGTAGTTTGAGTTATTTTTCCTTTTTAAATAAAAAAGTAAATATGGGTCATTTCAGTCTTCATCATTAATCCCATTGGAAAAAGAGAGAAAAGGTAGTAACAGGTTTATAAGCACGTAGGAAAGAGGGAACAGAGAGGGAGATAAAGGCAAAAAGTAAGAATATGCCAGTCTTCCAGTTTATTTGGCCAATTATTCAGCCAAGCCATGCAACAAGGTCTCAGAGTGAATTTTTGGTGAATTTTCACTGTCTATTTTGTAGGATAATGAGTAGTGTGCCCGTACTTTTGCTTTGTCCTGTCACCTCAAGAGTTAGTGGTCCCACAACACTGTACTTTTGATGAAGGGGAAAAAAGAAAACACAAAATCTTATCTTGGCAGGATTTTCTGTGTATAATTTAGAAAGTGTTTTCAAAACCAAAATTCTTACTTGTTTAAAAGGATATAACTATCCTTCCCCTTTGAACATATGCAATCTCCTTAACCAATACATGACTATCACCACTTTATCATTTCTTATTATTATCAGAAATTATTTTCTCTGAAAACCTTTTAACTATCTTTAAAATAATTTGAGAAATCACTGATTTAAAGTCTAATCAATCATATGGATGCTATTTATACTCCTAATCAAGAAGCTCTTGGTATTCTAACTGCATATCGGTGCATAAATTTATGACACAGCAAATAATGTTTCACTTAGAAAGAGTTCTCTCTTGGCTAAGTTTGAAATTTGAATAAACATTCATCCAGCCTGTCTTTGCCAGACTTTGAATCTGAGACATCGCACGTGGATAATAAATTGAAAATTATTATCAAGGAACAGCATTCCAAGCAGCACCTCTAATTTGATGGTTGAAGCTTCTGTAATTATCTAAAGGGAAGTTCTCATTTAAAAACATTTTTTATCAGAAACATGAGGTACTTTTAGTGCTAATAAAACCATTAAAACCACTCTATGTCAGGACAGAAATGTATCCAAGGAAAAAAGTGACATGTACTATATTTGACTGCTTTTAATGGAATTCAAGGAAAAACCCAGGGTCTATCATTTTGTTTTTAACAGGCTGGAGATGATCTTCGTCAGGATATGCTTGTTCTGCAGATTATTCAAGTGATGGACAACATTTGGCTGCAAGAAGGCTTGGATATGCAAATGATCATTTATAGATGTCTATCCACAGGAAAAGACCAAGGTCAGTATAGATTAGAAAGTGCATTGGCTCACATTATTTATTTCGTACATTGACTGGTAGTAGGCTACAAAACTTTCTCCAGCTTTCGTTTCAAACTACAAGTTTGAAAATCCAAAGAACTGTACACATTCTTCTTCTTTAAAAAGAATTATTTTAAAAAATGATAAGCCGACAGAATTTATACAAAGCATAATATGCTTTTAGGTATTAATTAGGACCTTCACAATCCAAATGTTAACTGTGATTTTCTTTTAGGTGTCTTTTAGAGTTAGTTTCATTAATAACTTACTGTTATTTTTCTCATTTTGTAATATAAAGCCTACTCATTTTTAAAAGAATACAATTGTTACTTATTAACACAAAATACACATTTTCAAGTGCTGAAAGGAATTCTGGAAATTCTAAACACATTGTAAACCTTAATTTAATTTCTAAAAGACTTTTGAGTAGATAAAGTATCAACAGTCAATGTTGGTCACACATGTAAATGTTGGACATATATCAGCATTTCTTTTCCTTTATAAAAGGCAAGAAATCAATATGAAAATATAATTATACTTATGCACATTTTCAATGAAAATAATGTCAATAGATCACCCAAATTATCACTAAAACATCTGAGGTAGAAGTTGCACTTAATTACAATAATGTCAAACCAAAGAAACAATAATATCTAAGATATCTTATAATTTTTTTTACATATAACCATTGCCACTTAGAATTTTATTAAATTAATTGGTGTGAATTATAGCAGATACATGTGCGTAAACAAGGGATGAAATCATATAACTGGAGAGGGGATCTAGACCATGTAGTCATTTTTTTCTTTTTTTAATTCAAGCATAGCTACAATTTAAACCTGTCATCACAAGAGAACTGTCATGCCATGGATCCTCACTTCCTGAAGTCCCACCAGCAGTCTCAATACCCCAGTCAACACTTGAGATTTTTAGATGCTAAGTATAAAAACACCTCCAAATTCACTTGCCACTTAATACCTTACAATGACTGCATTACAAGTCATACTAGCCAATTAATTTGATTCTGATAACAGGGCTACTACTTCCATGCCACGTGTCCCACTCTAAATACTTTCTAAATCTCTAGTTACTACAACAGTCATGTATCCTTGGTACCATGAGATTGTTATTCCTTGCATTTTACCCTACTTTTTCTCACGTAAGTGACCTAATGCTTTCCTGTCCTAAAATGCTGAAATAGAATAATGCTACATAATCCAAGCTGAGATATTTGATGTTACATGAATCACCTTTTCTCTAGAAATTGAATAAATTACTGATCCCAGTGGAATTTTTAAATTTCATCTCATTTCTATTTATAATTATAGAATGTAACCAAGGCTGAATCTTTTAGTTAATAAAATAATTCAGCAGAAATAACTATAGACTTATCCAAAGTTGCAGATGTCGCAAGACAAAGAAGTTATTTTTCTCCTCTGTCTACCAACAAACAACCTCTAATAGCTGTAAGATTTCAGAGGGCATTATACTGTCAAAATAATTCTTCAAGAAAAATAGAGATCATTAAAACAAGTGTCATTTTTAGAAGATTAGGTTGCATTTTTAATCAGGTTCCAAGGCTTATTGAATACCTACTTTTCTCAAGAAATGTCACAACTTTAGATGGGAAATGCATGCTAAAATGAGCTAAATAGAGTTGTGCCCTTGATGAGAGTAAACTCCAGTTTCCATAACTTTATCAATATCATTGTTGAGTATCATTCTCATGGTCACTTTGTATGTAATGTCCTAGGAGTTCTGGGAGAAATTTTCAGGGCAAATAAAAATTCTTCAGGATTTATTTTATCATTGGTTCTCCAACTTTGATGAACATGAAAATTACATAGGGGGATGGGAAGAGTAGATGCAACCTACCCCCAACCAGGTGTACTAAATCAGACTTCCCTGGAGGTGGAGGAGGGGCTCAAAGGTTGATTGCAAAAAGATGCTCAGATGTTTCTTATGCACCCTTGTCTGAAAGACACCACCTCGTATAACACCACCTTGAGTAATTTTATCCCTAAGAGCCTTGCTACTTGAAGTGTGAACCACAGACCCACAGCAATGACATCACCTAGGAACTTGGTAGAAATGCAGAATCTCAGGCCGCACCCCGCCATACTCAATTAGAACATTTTAACAAAATCCCCAAATGTATTTGTCCATTTTCACACTGCTATAAAGAAACACCTGGACTGGGTAATTAATAAAGGAAAGAGGTTTAATTGGCTCACAGTTCCACATGGCTAGGGAGGCCTCAGGAAACTTACATTCATGGCGGAAGGTGAAGTGGAAGCAAGGGCCTTCTCCACAAGGCAGCAGGAAAAAAAGGGGGAGAGGGGGGAACTGCTAAACACTAATAAAATCGTCAAATCTTGTGAGAACTCACTATCATGAGAAGAGCATGGGGGAAAACTGCCCCCATGATCCGATCCCCTCCCACCAGGTCCCTCCCTCCACACGTGGGGATAACGGGGATTATAATTTGAGATGAGATTTGACTGGGGACACAGAGCTAAACCATTAAACCACCGAGTTATCTGTATGTGCATTAAATTTTGAGAAATGCTGCATTAAAGGACTATAAGAATGAAACCACACATATTACTCTATGTGCACAGAATTATGTTCAAATAATTTAAATAGTGTATGATATACACTAGCTTAAAATGCATAAAATGTAATTTATGATTTCAATTAATGAGCAGAATTTAGCCACCATGATTGCTATAAATTAGGTACAAGATTTTCTGGATAGTCAGCAATTCAAGGCTTGTGATCAGTGACTTGGGATTTAGCAAGCATTAACTCCCTAAAAATTAACATAGTTGGAAAAGTAATTGACATTGCTGCAGAAAAGTATCTAAAAAGGTGCAGTCATCTAAGTCCTAACTTTGGGCATGGTCAAAGGTAAGATGGCATTGAAACACTCAGCAACCACGTAGAAAGTGACTGCCTTTAGGAAGTATTAAATAGAGGAACTGGAAAAATGAGGAGGGAAATTTTCAGAATTAAAAAGCATCACCTACTGACATTAAATGTTTTAAACCTGCTATCTCCCTTGACACACATGAGAAAACCTGGGCAACAGCTGAATACTGTTAGGGGAGAAGGGAGAAGTGTCATGATACTATGGATATTCCCAGGACTTGTCTCTGGGATGTGAAGTTTCCTTCTGATCCACAAATGTAGATGGCCAATGATCACAACAGGACTATCAGATGTTAAGAGAAATTAAGGCTGCAAACTAGCTGCAACTGACCAAATTCAGCACCATTAAGTCTTTTGTTTATCACCACCATAATCTACTTTAATGTTGTTTAATTTGAATGTTTTTAAGGTAGATCATTAAAAGGTCAATTTAAAAACTCAACCATCTCTCTGTTCTTGTAGTTATATTTGTGTCCCTGGTCTCTCCGGGAATTTGAGTTTGCAACTCTTGCAATTGTCGAGACTATGGAAATCAGAAACTCTAGATTTTAATTTATTTTAATGACTTTATAATACATTGCACGTTGTTTTGTAGACATTATCCCTGAGAGAGCTTTAAGTACTGGATCTACATTGCTGTTCTGTACAGTATAAAAATCAGAAGGTTTGCAAATATTTACATTCCAATAACCTTAGGGGCACAAAAAAGTTTAATTTTTTTAAAAAAATTAAATTAAATTTAAAAAAGCCTTGATGGATACATGGCCAGCAGAGCAAAGTTCCTATTTAAGTTCAATCAATATATGATCCCTTTTTAAAAAATTACTTTTGTAGTTTCTCTTTAATATTGACTGAGAAGGAAGGAGCAGGTAGCTCTCTATATGTTCACTGCTGAGTTATTCTGTTCACTCCCGGAAATGTAACATTTAACTGTGAAGCTTTTTTTAACCTGAACATTGATTTTTATAATATGTATGCAATGTTTGTTAAGGAGAGTGCATTTGGCTCCCTTAAGTTGTAAATATGTTTGTTATCCAAGCTTAAGTGTCCTCCCTTAAACTGTAAATGAGAGCACCAGCCATGTGATAATTAATTAACCACTCTGTTGATGCAGTGGGGTCTCCGTTCATCATCAAGATTGGCTTGCTACCATAGCTCTAGAAAAAAATATTAAAGCTGCTTCTGTTAAATCTGATCCAAACACAAGTAGCCTCATTGTTCTCCAGGATTTTAGGAAGAATTAGAAAGAGATGCATCTAGATAAGCCTCCTCCAGAAAAGAAAATTTGGAAAGGAAAGGGGTAACCCAGTAGTGCTAGAAGCTATTGTTGTTATATTTCCTAAGGCTCCCTCATCCTGTGATGAAGGAATTGTCTCTGTAACCTTTTTTCTGTCTACCAGGATTGGTGCAGATGGTACCTGATGCTGTGACCCTAGCAAAGATTCATCGCCATTCTGGACTGATAGGACCATTGAAAGAAAACACAATAAAAAAGTGGTTCAGTCAGCACAACCACTTAAAGACAGATTATGAAAAGGTTTGTCCTGCTGCAGATCATTTTAAATAATGTACTTAAATAAGAATATGCTCTGGTTCATTAGATATTCTGATTTGTAGAAAAGTAAATTAAGTGCATTTTGAGTTCTACGTCAATCATCAGCCCAGTAATAATGACCCAGCTTAAATGATGTATTAACTACATAAAAGTTTCTGTATTTTATTTAGTTTCTGGGTGAAAATCCTGGTCATCAATAAAGATTTTTTTTTGCTCAAAGGCCATCCTGACATCAGTCTCACCCTAGAAACAACACCCCTTGAAGTTACCTCTTTTAATCTCCAATTTCTATAAATATTCCTGCTTTTCTTTGCAATACATTTCTTCCACTGTTCTCTACTTTTTCATCTCCCATTTTCTTAAGAGTTTGCAAAATGCAAAATAGAGTTTATGTATATCATAATTTTACAAAATGTACCATTTTATTTGACCGCAAACATTTTTTCTCAACGTTTACTTCATTCTGGTATCTGGCTTGCAGTGTACAGTTGTGCAGGTTCTGCCCTATATTAGGGATCTTGGCTAAGGAGATGAATGTGGCTAGAAGCAGGCCTTGTTCCACTTGCCAAGTTATGATCTAGTATAGCTGGGTCCACCCAGAGGCATGAGCACCTACATGCTAATTCATGCAAAAATGCACCAGTAGATTTGGTTGGTCCTATCCTGTGGACTGAAATCCCCTTATTTTGAGAAATTCCTCAGACCTGGTACGCTGGGATGATTGGTCACCCTACCTATGATAAAAAGGCCATGATAAAAAGGACCCCAGAGTTCATCTATTCCACACTTTCATAATATTATGTTGAAGCAAAATACAAGTTTTACAGACCAAATAATAAATAATTAGATAAAATTACCTGGAAATCTATGTTTTAGCTGTTCCCAAAATTATAACTTCATTTTTGCATTAATCCTTGTGGTTACGTTGTTTGAGATGTTTCCAAATACATCACTCTTCACAACCACCATATGAAGGACATATTTTATTATTTTCACTTTCTAAGTGAAGAACATTTGGATTGACAAATTAAGTGACTTGCCTAGGCATGTGGAAGACCTGGAACTGAGGCACCCTAGCACGCAGCCTGGTGACCTAGCCTTCACTGCATCAAGGCAGCCCCTCCATGCTAGGAGACCATAACCTTGTCCCAACCAGTCATTCATGGTTACACCACCAAGTTGATGAAATAATGTATACCCAGGAGACCATTTTGGAAACAAAGTGTATTTTTGGAAAGAAACCTCTGTTCATTAGAGAAACATAAGCACAAATTGACTTAATGATCATCTGCTTCTACCCACACAGGCATTCACTGATGTATATGTACTATACCAAACAGCTTCAGACATCAACTACGTTGATGACCTATTTGTAAAAATACACATGAAATGTTACACATTTCTCAGTATAGCTTTCTCTGTCTTCCAAAATTTCAAATATTCAACAACTGATATTTTAAAAGTCCTCTGGGAATAGGCAATATTGGGCCGTATTGTTCCTCCTTCTTTTACTTTGAAAAAAAAATCATTCACTATTGTATATTTGAAGTATCAAAAAATCACACTAGGAAACTTCTCTAGTGAACCATGAAAATAAACTCCATCTGAATGAAGGTGATCTTCTCCCCAGTTTCAATGCAAACATTTATCTATTAGAGACTAAAGAACAATTGTTTCATATTTTTCTGTAGCAGATCAAGAATCAGCTGCTTAACTGTACCCTTCTGTCCACTGAGATGTAGAAATTTGTCCTGATTATGTAATTTTGCTTTTTATCATTTACTTTTTATGATTACCTCTGATGCTAATGCATTTGCTCATTTTTTGTTGTTATTTTTGTATGATTGTTTTTCAATGGATTAGGCCTTAAGGAACTTTTTCTACTCCTGTGCTGGCTGGTGTGTGGTAACATTCATCCTGGGAGTATGTGACCGTCACAATGATAATATCATGCTGACAAAGTCGGGCCACATGTTTCATATTGACTTTGGAAAATTCCTAGGTCATGCACAAACATTTGGAGGGATAAAAAGGTCAGTGCGCAAATGTTTATTACAGTAATTAAGCAATGTCCTAAGCAATATGTATAACATGTAATTGCATAGAAGCCCTGCTGATGACTTGCTCCCATCTCTCAAATCCCCCAAGGTAATATAAACATAATAATATATCTAATAAGATTGAAGAAAAGTTTTAAAGTAGATTTTTAATGCAACAAATTTGATTTCCTCAAATTGGTAGTAGACTAAACCGGTCTTTCCCCATGAGAAGCAACTAATCCTGTTTTAGTCTGAGTCGTCTGAAATAATATTTTTTGTTTCCTTATGAAACTTGAATGGACAATGAAGTATGAATTGATGATCTCAAAACATCTGATATATTGCTCATAGCAAATCACCACTGGTCTATACATATTCATACTAGCTTACTTCCCACACTGAACTAACTAGCCTTCCATCATTCCACAGATATTTAGGAAATACCTACTATTCAAGGATACAACAGTAAACAAGACTGATACAAACCCTTTCCAGGAGGGGTGGCAGACATTAAATAAGTTTACAAGCAAAGAAATGACACAGAAAATGGGAAGTTATTTTAGAAAAGTAAGGCAGAGAAATGGAATAGAAAGTAACTGGAGTAGGGATACTATTTTAAAGAGGCATCTTGGAAGACATGACAGAGAGCTGTGTCCCCACGACCACCTCATGGAGATCCATGAGAAGAGTATTCCAGAAAGAAAGGATAGCACATATAATAGCAGTGAGCACAGAAATAAGCATGGCATGTTCCAGCCACAAGAAGACCTGCAGTCTGGAGATGGGGTGGAGAGGGGCGGGCAGTAGGAGGTAAAGGTGAAGAGTTTGGTGGAGGTCCAATCAGGTAGGGCACAGAGGGCATATAGAGTATGGCTCTTATTTTTGAAGTTCAGGAGAAACTTTTCGATTTCAGTGGTTTTCAAAAGCTTTCTTTTGATACCTTGTGTAATGGAGACCAGTGAAGAGACTACTGCAATAAAGTGAGACCAGTAAAGGCAGAAGTAGTAAAAACGGACAGATTCAGAATATATTTTGAAGACAGAGTCACAGGATCTGCTAACTGATTGGACGTTGGCTGTGATTAATGAACTTGGGGAGAGGCGCAGAAGGTCAGAGAAGAAAAGAAAACATTCAAGGATGATGCCTAGATTGTTTTATCTTAGCAAATGACTAAATAATTATATTATTTACTGAAATAAGGAATACTGACAGATGAATAGGTTTTGTTTCATTTTATTTGAGCTGAAAGTACAGAAATCAAAGATTGAACACTAAAAGTCTTTAAAAACATATTTCATATTAAGGTAGAAATAGGATCAAACCATTCCAAAGACTCGTTAGTCGCTTTTGCCTGAGAACAGCCCCTCAATATAAGAAATAATAATATTTCTTACAAGATAATGTGATTGAATTTATACCAGATGGCCATGACCTGGCATTAAAAAGGCATCATAAAATACATGATGTATACAAATGGATTATTTTACTTTTTGTTACTTTCAATATATTGCTTTCTTTAATAGCCTCGAAAAATTCACCACATATTCATTCACTTCTTTTTCTTTTTTTCTTTTTCTTTCTTTTTTTTTTTTTTTTGAGATAGAGTCTCACTCTGTCACCCAAGCTAGAGTGCAGTGGCACGATCTCGGCTCATTGCAACCTCCACCTCCTGGGTTGAAGCGATTCTCCTGCCTCAGCCTCCCAAGTAGCTGGGACTACAGGAGTGAGCCACCATGCCTGGCTAACTTTTGTATTTTTAGTAGAGATGGGGTTTCACCATGTTGGCCAGGCTGGTCTCGAACTCCTGGCCTCAAGTGATCCTCCTGCCTCAGCCTCCCAAACTGCAGAGATTAGAGGCGTGAGCCACTGTGCCTGACCTTCATTCACTCCTTAAATGTCCACTGGGAATGGTCTGTGTGCCAAGGACTGTGATAAACATTGGAGATACAAAGATAATTAATATGCATTTACCATGTCAGTTAGGGATACTCTTTCAAGTACTGCAAATGCAGACACATAAATGATTATTATAAAATGTTATAAGGGCAGAGATAGAGAAACGTACAGACCATGAGAACGTCATAGAGGAGAGATACCTAGCTTATGAGGGACAAATGTCAATTAATATACTTGAGTGTCTATAAAATTTATTCATGTAACACTTTTTTCCTGAACTCCACCTTTTTCTAAAAAAATTCAAAGCTTCAGTTTGGACATCTTTTTTTAACTTTTGATGTATTGTACACTGGAAATTTGGGGCACCCTTATTCATTTATTCCTCTGGCTTCCGTATTGTTCACGTGAGTGGTTTAAAATGAAAAAGGTATTTCAGCTCTACAGAAAAAGTTCCAGTTGGGAGACATAAAAAAGTAAAGAAAAGATTATTAACACAGTGTGGTAAGTTCACACACCAGGCTCTGTAGAGAAGATCAAGTTCCAGTTTGGTTGCTTGTTGATGCTAGAGCAGCTACTGCTACTTCTAGAGTTTGGCAATTTTAAACCTTTCTTAGGCAGCATCATAGGTAGATTAAAAACGTGCCCAGCATACAGCCACAGTCATAATTGGTTCTTAATATTTTCCGCTGAATTAAGCAGCCAATAAAACAATCATCAGCCATTCAATAATTATTGATTGGATGAATGAAAATGAATTTGCCACTGTCTTCCTTTGAGAATATTAGTTATTAACCACCAGCTGAGGAGGCCAACTGCAGCTCCATGATCCATATGGATTATTGTTTTCAAGATTTTGTGTCCATTGGTGGCTCCCGTAAGGCTCATCAGCAGTATCTCCTTGGATTACTTTCTCAATGCTGATACTTTTTCCCTGAGTTTGTTTAATGGTAAAACTGAACTGTACCTATTACACTATCTTTTGAATTGTAGGAAGCACCTAACATTTCTCTTCCTAAGCTCTTTCAGTTGTTTCTGGAATTCACTGAATGTTGTTTTGTAGGACAGTTAACTTCTTCCATCTAGGTTCATTGATTATTCTTATTGGTTTTTAGGTACACAAAAGTCCTTTTACAAGTCTTATAGGTCCTATAAGTAGGACCTTTGTATTCCCCTAGGATAAATGAACATTCTTATTTGTCCCACATTTATTACATTACGGACCCTGTTTTTAGAGAGAAACCTAGCCCACGCCTAGTTTCTGTACACATACTCAGATGTATTAACCCACTTATGCCAGAGGTTGCAAAATTTTTTGTGAAAAATCAGACCTTGGCAATGACCTTGAGCAGTAGGATATAAATAACTCCCACAAGCTTAGCGTTCCAGGAATGGAACACTAGGCATAAATGGGTTTAATAACAGCACCCCACCATAATATATAAAACCAGATTTATAAATCATGACCTAGGACTGTCATAACATCCCATACTCTGACAAGATCATATAATGCTCCAATACTAACCAACAATAACCCTAGTTCATAGTCTTTAATGTAAAATGCTGCACCCACTAGAAGCATAGAGTTTATATGTACAGATACATGTGCTTCTCCTATTGTCTATTTCTTAAAAACATGGAAAGGAAAAGCATTTGTATAACTTTTTATGGTTTACACAATATTATTATTATTGCTATTTATTTATTTATTTATTTTGAGATAGTGTCTCTCTCTGTCACCTAGGCTGGAGTGCAATGGCACAATCTCGGCTCACTGCAATCTCCACCTCCCTGGTCCAAGCAATTCCCCTGCCTCAGCCTCCTGAGTAGCTGTAATTACATGCCACCATGCCCAGCTGATTTTTTTGTAATTTTAGTAAAGACAGGGTTTCACTGTGTTGGTCAGACTGGTCTCAAACTCCTGACCTCAGGCAATTCGCCTGCCTTGGCCTCTCAAAGTGCTGGGATTACAGGCGTGAGCCACCGCACCTGGCTACAAAATATTATTAACATATATTAACTAATTCATTGTGTATTAACTAACACAGCAAAGAGGTGATATTCCTATAAGAAGGATTTTGAGAAAAAAAACTGATTTCTCACTGGGCTGCTACCCTTTTATACTCATGCTTACATCACCATTCCAGAACATCTCACACTAAGCATCCGTGTTACTCTGTTTAGGGTATGTTACAGACATTGAGCTTTCCTGGTTCTTGAATTAAATTGAGTCAGCCAAGCCACTCTGTCATTTGGAATCTATGCCCAGGTGTCACTGAACTATTCCTCTGAATTCAGTTCTCCAGGAATCTGGAATTTCTATTTCGATGCTCAGACCAACTCTGAGGCTCCCAAAAATTTTCAAACTTCTAAGAGAGAAAAAAAAATCTTAGTTATGATTATGAAGGATTTCACATCCTGCATATAAACAAACAATCCGTTGTTATTGACTTTAGTTGTGAGACTAGACAAAGAGATTTTATACCATCAGATTAAATCAAAGAACAACTGAGGTATTACTTAAAGATTCTGGGGAAAATTTGACTAATGTTTATAATGGAAGCAATGAGGAATTTCTCCAGCTCTCTGAAACCAATTGTTTTTTTTTTTTTTCAACTATTGCCTAATTATTATCTTCTTTTTGGAGGGACAGGGTCTCACTCTGTCACTAAGGCTGGAGTGCAGTGGCACAATCGTGGCTCACTCAACCTTTACCTCCCTGGACTCAGGTGATCCTCCCACCTCAACTTCCCAAGTAGCTGGGACCAGAGGCATGCACCACCACACCCGGCTAACTTTTTTATTTTTTTGTAGAGATAGGGTCTCATCATGTTGCCCAGGCTGGTCTTCAACTCTAGGCTCAAGCAATTTGGACCTCAGCCCAAAATGCTGGAATTATAGGCATGTGCCACAGTGCATGACCTATCTTCATTTTTTAATTTTATTTCACCAAGATACAAATTAAAGTGGTTAACAAATTATGCATTCACAATTTTGCACTCAATTCCACTATAACAATGATTTCTACTGAGTAATTTTTCATTACATAAAAGATTTCACTGTAGCAATAAACTCAAAATTTCAACTCAATAATTTCTTGA